TGTCAAAGCACTTCAGATATTCATTGCTATCGGGATGTTAAGAGCATTCCATGGAATATAACAAAAAGTGTATCTCGAGCCGGTTTCTCAAACTTACCTACCCCACCTTTAAGTAAAAGTACCATTACATTAATGTTCAAATACAGCAACACATTTAAAAGTAAAAATATGGAAAAGTACTTATTCTGCAGAAAAATGAATTCCCAATTATTATTTATATCCCATTATGTGGTTGTTAACATTGTTGCATCACATACGTTTTTACTTTTGTAGACACATTTCTGATGCAAATTATTCACATTTATGACCTTCTTTCTTAACTTTGTGTAATACAGTATATAGTCGATTGACCTTTTTTCTACCTGGACGTGTACTTCATTGAATTGTAATAATTTGTATTTTAAATACTATGTAAATGCCTTTTATGGAAAAGGTTTCTATCTTCACTTTGATGTAACATTGTACATTTCACCTTTGTGGGCCGAATAAAGGATTTCTGATAATCACTTCAAAATTCAGTACAGTATTTGAGTTACTGAGTTGCCTTTTCACACTCTACAATGTGTTTTATTCATTTCCACAGTGGGTGTCCTGACCTGGAACTGAGTCTTGGCTCTCTCTGTGGCCTGCTGCAGATTGAGGGAGTGCTCAGTCTGCAGGAGGTGTGCCACAGAAAGAGTCTGGTAGATTCTCTTAGCGCCCCAGTTCCTGTCCCACAGGGGGCGCCATTCCTCCCAGTCGATCACAGCCAGGCCTCGGCTGGTCCTGGAAGTAATGGAGAGGAGAAGTATAAGTTAAAGGTCTCCTATTATGCTATTTTTAGGCACGTATTATAGGTCTCAGATATATGAAAATAATGTCTTGCTCAAAGCACAAAACAGATCACCCATTTTAGCCATGCCTCATACCCCTCTATTTCAGCCCTGTTAGAGAAATGCTTATTCTGGGTCTAAAGCTTTAAAGGTCACCTATTATGATAAATCCACTTTTCCATGTCTCTTCTACATCAACATGTGTCCCCTCTTCTTCTTCATGTCTCTTCTACATCAACATGTGTCCCCTCTTCTTCATGTCTCTTCCACATCACCATGTGTCCCCTCTGTGGAAAGAGATTCTGAAAGTTTCAGGAACAAAGATTCTCTCTCTTTTTGTCCTGATCCATTTCTATGAAAACCTGTCTGAAAATGAGCTGATCAGATTTTGGCCACTTTATGATGTCATAACAATGTTTTGGCTTGTGTAACCATTAGCCAATCACCAACCAAGGTAATCAGCACTTTGAAAACAGTGCTGAAAGAGAGGGGATTATGGGTAATGCTGCAATGATCTGTTTGGTGTTTCGAGCCAAACACTTCAGAGACAGGTTTTGTATACATCTGAGACCTGCAATATATTGAGGAAAAACAGTATAATAGGGGATCTTTAATGTGGGTGTAAAGCCAGCCCGTATTTCCGATATTACGTCATATCGAGGATCAGCTCCGTTGTACCCCCGTATTTAGGGATTTGGGTACGGAGGAAAAGAGAGAGGGTTTTGCACTTTGTGTGTTCCCTGACGCACCGGGGACACATATGTATGTATAAAAGACATACAAAAGTGCTTTTGGCATGAGAGCACACGTGTCATTAATAAAGGGCACATTTTTTCATGGAGAAATGCTCACTTGGATGTGATGTAGTAGTTGATGTCGGCTCTGGCCTTGTTCAAACTGGCCCTCATGTCCCCTCTCTGTGGGATGCCACCGTTCAGCTGTTTCCTGCTGGTCAGGTCTACATGTGGGTAAAGACCCAGCCGGTCAGTGTAGAACAGAGACAGGAACTGACCTGGGACCTGCAGCAGGAACAAGACAAAGTGATGCAAACATTTTATATTTCTTCTATTATTATATTGTATTGTTACTGTCTTGTATTGTATCTGGTTATATTTGGGTCTTTACCCAATGTTCTGATTACTCAATGCAGGCAAATTATCACATATTGCCTGTTATGTTTAAACATTACATTTCAACAAACTTGTGATAAAAGAACAATTATAAAACGGACATGTCAAATCAAGCAATCTGATTGGTTCTTAGTCGTGATATAATGAGCGTATATCACGGGTAGAATTGTACTTTTCACAACAAGTCAGTATCCCTCCGCGTCTGAGTCGGGCCGAACCACGCCCCTTAGCTGTGATATAATGAGCATATACCACGGCCTGTCGTGAGCTATTGCTTAAATATATCATATTAGTTATCAAATTGTTTCATTGTCATATCTTTTAGATAAAAACATTTTTCCTTTAACAAACAAATTGTTCTGTACTTTGTTTAATGTGCTGAAAGTGCCATGTCTGCAAAAAAAGACATCAAGAACAGATGTGTGATTTCCAGTAATAAAAGGCCTCTATAAATCAACCTGTAATGCATTTAACTTGTAAAACATGTTGAAACAAGAAACAATCTATTATTGTTCCAGACATGTACAAACATGCAACAACTCGCTGATAGCCGTTCGAATGACAAAACACATCACCATATATGTCCTCCCATAATAGCTTCATAAATTAGTTTGTGATTTGGTTACAGCATGTGTTTTCCCACCCTGGATTTGAATGTAATAGTTAACTAAATGAGATACGATTCAAATATGTCCTCCTACCTTAGCAGGTGTTGCCACTCCTTTAAAGGGCGAGGTGTCCAGTGAGATGTTGTACCTCTTACACACCCGATCAGGAATGTTCCAACTCACAATGAAAGGCTGGTGCAGGAACATCGGGAGTGTGGTGTGGAGGAGGGGGGGAGGCAGAAGTGGTTTGGTCCGACGAGAGGATGCTGCTTCTGGGGGAGATGTGAGGATTTTGGGTGAAGTTTTGGCAAAAGGAGGCGGTGATGTTTGAGTGGTGAAGAAGGATGCGGAGAGAAATGATGTTGAACCAGTAGAGAGATGTTGGGTAGAAGAACTTTGAGGTAGAGGGGAAGATGGGGAACTTGCTGGATGTTCAGCCGCGTGATCAGGTAGTTTGTCAGAAGACACAGGAGTCGCTTTGGACGAATTGCATTGTGGGTTTTCGTGCAGAGGGGCTTTTTTAGCAAGCAAGTCATCTGAGGAAATTATGCTTTTTCTGGGGGAAGTTTGGTCAAAGAGGTGGATAGATGTCGGGCTGATGGTGGAGGGGATCGCAGGAGTGGGGAGGGCGTTAGAAATGGTTGATATGCTGGTGTTGCCAACAGGAAGGGTGGAGGCTGTTACAGATAATGATAGAGCAGGCCAGGCGGAGAGGGTGAGAGCAGGGAGGAAGGAGATGGGCAGAGGGGGGAATATTGATGGGGTGAGAGAGAGAAGCAGCATCACACAGCGTCTGCTCCTCTGTGTGACCATCCTTCACCCTGGCTGAGCAAAAGAAGAGTAAAGACAGAAACAATCAAACATCATGTCACAGTCGAATGTGATAATACATGGACATATTGGGAGAAAATGTTTACGGAACAAGTAAAAAAACATTTTTGTCAGGACAACTGTGTTCATTGTTGTAATACTCATGTCAACCACAAGAGGCTGAAATGCACCACTAACCATGCAATAAATGGGACTAACAACATTAAAGACACGTAAAGTATTTTGTTGGATAAGTAAGTATGTATCTTTCAAGAGAAACAATGATTAATTTCAATACAAATAATAAAAAAATGTTTTTCACAGTAATACCTTACAAAAATAAACAACAAATATAAACAGGCTACAATATTTTGGCCATTATTTACAGATACAACTTTTTTTTATGGAACCTAAAAAGACTGCTGAAAAAAACATTGTTTTGCTTGTCCTAAAAACAAGACAGAAAACACTTTAAATCAGACTTTGATTGCCATCATTTTTCTTTCTCACTTGCCTCTCAAGGCCTCTGGTAATGTTGCTATAATGAAACTATAATCAGGCAAGCAAAACAATACTCAGACCTGGAACAAGTTAATGGCCACCATCTGTTCTTTTTAGTTTCTTCTATCTATGGGCTAGTATACTGTCTTACCTTACATATTTATTATATAATATACTGTACCTTTCTCCGTATTCTGTTCGGCTCTCAACTCAGGCCTAAAATCTGACAGAAATCTGAGTTTCCTCCCAAGAACAACGAAGCTTAATTCTTGATGTAAACTGATCTTTCGAAATCCACCTCGACAATCATGAACCACAACTCAAAACCAACTTTCAGATTAAAAAGACACAATACCTGGACATGCCTTCAGTGGATCCGTTTCATCATAGGAAGTGTTGAATGGAACAATGTGTCCTCACTAAAGATGGCACTGTCTGATATAGTGAGGGGGAGCAGAGGCTAGAGCCGGGTACAGCGATCGCCCTTCACTCTCCGTTGTTTGTATCAGAAAGACGTCTCGTTTCGATCGCACGGTGCCAAGTTTATCTTGGAGCAGAGAGGAAGAAACACCTGGGTGTGAGGTCACGGTGCTTTCACTGTCCTCATAGTGAGGGGAAATGTACAGGGCATCAGAATGGAGCCACGTTGTTATTGAGCTGGTGTTGACATCGGTGTTTGTCACTTGAAATGAATAATTAAAACAATGGCGGCTGTGAAAGCAAATGGGATTACTCGATAAACTTGCTCAATGTTTCACAACTACATAAAGAGTTCATGTCTCCTTTTTTTGGTTACACATCATTTAATTTTGTGAGGAATTTGGATATATATGGAGTCATAGAAGTACACCAATTTTTCATATTCGTCAAATGTTTGGCCTTCTTTTCTCTTCTACTAAGAAATCAATCAATTGAAAATGTTCAAGATGGTATAAAACAATACCATTGGGTTGAAGGTGGGCCTAATTGTAAAATATTGCATATATACGCTGCATATAAGCAGCCAACATGTTTACATTCTGCCCCTCCAGTTAGGAGACAGGAAAGTTTGCGCCTAGGTGGCAACAGAGGAGTTGCTTCCAGACAAAAATAACTTTATTAACTAAGAATATATTTTCATTGCAATGTCACGAGTAATTGTTCATTGGACTGTTTACCCTGTGTGTTTACGCGTCTGGTCAGGGACACGTAATACCAAATGGTGGTGGTCATCTCACAAGTTAGAGGCACAGTGTGAATACTGGCGGTTTTTAGGAGAGGGCTGTCTGTACATGTGTGTTCCTGTTCAGATAATACTACATGTAAACTACATTTGGATGTTCCATAATGTAAAAACTGAGACTTTTGTGTCTTTAGTTATACTATGAACGGATCTAGGTGCTATAATAACACAGTGAAAGTATTAACACGCTCAATAGATGGCGAAATACACTAAGCTATTCAGAAATGTTGTAAGGTTGTGATGTCACCACTACTTTCATGACGTTTGAAGAGAAGATCCACAAATGCAGAAAACCAGGAAACACTGACTGTTGCAGCCAATTTGATGTATTTTAATATTTGTATATGAAGGTGCTGTGATACTACTGAATTGACCTGGGCATAGGCGGGGACTCAGCCAATTTCAGGGTACAGCCTACTATTTGGGGAGGACACAGGTGCACAGCATTAGGGATTGGGAATCACCAGAGGGAAGCCACACAGTTTTTCAACCGTACTTGTTTTCGCTTATTTTCTGTTTGTTTTGAGTTAATTTCGGTTTATTTCTTTATCACAGTTAGTTGTTTAGTTATCAGTTAAACGCCCGGCTCTTGTTTTGCTGTCATCATCCTGCAATCCAAATAAACATCTTAAATGCACTCAAAGAGAAGACCTGATTTGCTGTCAACACCACGCGTCTGGAAAAGCTTCACACCATATCCCTCACTGGCAAATATTTGTTGTTCGGTTGCCTTTACACTGACCAATCAAATCAGATTAGGCTTTTATGGTGAAGGGGGTTTAAAGAGACTAAACGCTAAAACGAGGCGTTTCAGTGTAAAAGCCTAATCTGATTTGATTGGTCAGTGTAAAGGCAACCGAACAACANTTAAATGTTTATTTTATTAACTTTTCTTTTTAATGACTGATTTTAAATGCCATTTTCTTAATGTCTTTCATTTTTTGTAAAGCACTTTGAATTGCCTTGTGTTAAAAAGTGCTATATAAATAAAGTGGCCTTGCCTTGCCTAAATTCTGAAAATGACATCACTGTAGTCCAGCCCTTCAAACCAGGAAAAGTCAACACTTATGACATCACAATATCCCAAATCTAAGATTATACCTCATATTATGACACAAGTATAATATTGATACAAACTAAATGTTTCTACGCCAAGAGCACATTTATCTGACACTTGACTTTCAACATGTCTTATCTGTCAATGCTATCAATAACAGGCAAAGGAGAGGCATTCTTTCCAGATGATATCACTGGTGACATAGTTTCTAAAAAAGCTTCAAGGCAATTATGGTTATATACAATGGCAATAAAACCATTTTCTAGATCCCGCATGAAAACGGTGAACTTTATATGGATCTCAAACCGTGCCTCTTATTCAGGGTTGTCCCGTGCGCACCATTTTTTTGTAAATGTAACAAAACCCTCACTGCTGAGAGAAATCAAACTTCACATTGAAAGATTTGCACATTTAACTACCTTAAAAAGGTGGTGGTGCAATTTTCCGAGATTTTCCAGATAACTCAAACACCCTTATTCCTTTGACAGGTCAGCCATAATAACAAAGATTTAAAGCTACCATCCACTACCTAAAAAAGCTTACAATATTTTAATTGTGATGAGCCACAGTAAAAACAATATTCTGCTCTGGGAGACAAACATCCTGTTATCTGCTTCCCTGGGGAATTATAACTAGTTTGAACAGCTCCAATTCCTTATATAGTTGAATAATATTCATATGTACTAGCCTGTGGGTGTTCTGTAGTTGTAGTCCTGCAAGATGACAAAGAGGAGACAGAAGAACATGTAAAATAAATGTTAGGTTAAGCTACTGCTGTGTAATATTGTTGATGCTGCTGCACATGTGTTGCATAAATACAGACACAGTGCAATTATAAAAATGAGTCAGCTGAATCATGCTACACGTGTTACATCATATCAGACTCAATATTGAATCGTGACAGTGCATTACTGATCTTATGGGTCATATCAGACTCAATATTGAATCGTGACAGTGAATTACTGATCTTATGGACTGCATTCACACCTGCTTTCTGCTCAGGTTTTGAACCTAGTCTGAGGACTTTTGAGATGTCCTAGAACAAGTCTGGTGGGCACATTCTTCTCCGAGGACACACTTCCCGAAAACAACCAAGGTTCAGAGCTATGTTATGTAATGCAAAATAGCGCTGATTGATTTAACAGCTCCAGAAACACAGCTATCCACTCCTGTAGCCAATGCTAGGCTTAGCTCAACCAGGCTAGCTGTCAGCGGTGTGTCAGGAGGATTTCCTGGGTGCTTTCAGGTGTGCCAAGCTTTAAAAGTTCAGAGTGGAGGCCTGGAGCAGGGATACAACTGTTTTTTTTTCAAATGGGACGATGAATCCAGCCAACTCTCCCTTTTCTGCTGTCAAAACAAACCAACCGCAAAAGTATTTCCCCGGGAAAACAGCAAACTAAAAGGCCATAAACAAACCGTTACATCTCACGAGCTAGCCGTTGGTTGTGTGAAGAAAACAAACAGTTAGCATTTGTTATGCTATCATACATAACATTTAAATTGAAAAAAACTTACTATGATTTTCCTGCCAAGGTAGTTGAAAAGGCAGTCATTTTCCTGCGGTGTCAAGAGTATGGAACCGACATTTGCTTGCCGACGTTGCGGCGGATGTCCACTCATTATTAGGGATCAATTTATAAAGTGTGCACCGACTGTAACTCGTTATAGGAGATCCAACAACATAAACAATCCCTCGGTCATCCGTGGCCTCCCTGCGACCCCCTCACACCGGTTTATCCTGGACGTCAACAAGAAGGGGTGCCAAGAAATGTATGTCGTTTTAGGGATGCAGTTGTCCTTTTTAAAATAAGGTCAAAACTGCAGCGACTGAGCGAAGAAGGAAAACGCTAAAAAAAAAAAAAAAAAGTTTCCTGGGAAGTCCACCCGCCACACAGCCAGCTCCATCCAACATGGCAGGGTAAGGACGAGTCCATTATCTGGGAATAGGGGCCACACGTTTCCTAGCTATGTCCTATATAATCAAAGAGGGTTATATTTGGGCACAGCAAACAGTGAAAAGATTATATAGTAGTAGATAACATGACAACTTTATTTTGACAGAATTTAATTAAGGAAATTATGCTAAATAGAATTACAATCATCAGCGCACCCCTATGGAGATGGTTTGATCCAGTCCGCCCGTGGCTTTTATGGCAGGAATGTGTGTGAGTGCAGAATGGGAGGAGATAAGAAATAAGGTGCAAGTGGGAAAGATAATGGCATACAATGCTCCCTGTGAGAGGAATTATTCAGCTGAAAATGAATGCAGAGCTAAGCCTACACTTTAATGTAAGTCTTTAAAGCTGAATAGGTGTTCAAGATGGAAATGGCCCTTTTAATGATAATGTACAATTATGAAGTTAGACAGGGGTCATGGCCCAGCTAAAGAGCTGTTATCTGGGGCATATTATTTCCTAGACCATAAACATTCTCTGAGATGTAAAATGATTGGTGCTCCTGAAGTTGAAATGCCTCCAGGGACTACAGGTCTCCCCCTTTCATTGCAATAATCCATAAATAGCCTATACATAAAGCGAAGTACTATTAAGACTGCTCCAGTTACTACACATAGCCTCAAGGGTAAGACTGCTAAGTGTGACTTAATTCTTCAAATTGTACTTTTAAGTTGTTTCTACATAATCCTTGTCAATTGACTGAGACACCCCTATAGGGCACATTGTATAATATCACAACTTAAAGCCTTTTTACATCTGACACCTTTTCATATAGCGTTCATCAATTAAACAGACATATTCAGAGGCTACTATGAGTAGCCTCGAACAAGGGCAGGATACATATTTTACTAATGTGCCCAAAGGGTGTTTGTAACGCTCTGCAACATGCTCCGTTAGGCTCATAAATGGGTGTTGTTCGCAGGATGGTAGCTTTTGAGAGGTGTTTACTATGACAATGTATCTATTGCCCTGTTTTGCACAGTTTGGATAAACATTTTAGACTTGTTGAAATAAATGATTGCACAGTTCTACATCTAAGAAGGTGCGTGAAACTAACGGCAGTTCTCCTCTCTTGCCGGGTTGGTATTGTGGAAGAGACATTTCTTGTGGAGCTTTAAAGGTCACACCTGTTCTGTTTGATTGCACATTGACCAAACTCAGCTTTTATTGATAAAAACAATTTTCAAGATGAAAACGCTAAAATATTGCTCTTAAGAAACAAAATATGACTTTAATTTAACCATGGAATTCTCTGAATATTTGCAACATTTTATTGAATGTTGAGTTCAGCCTTATCAGCACTTATGTGTGAGATAGAGCTTTAATCCAATACGGACATTATGATACATTCCTTCGCTCACTGTTCTGCAAAAAA